GTCTAAATGAGCAGTTGAGGAAACATTATGCGTCACTTGCTTTGAGATCAAGACTTGCCAACTGATGTCAGTATTATTGTAGTAATTTTCATGTGATTGTATGTGATTTTTAAATGTTCATTTCTTGTTGTCACTTAAATGTGTGCAGCAATGTGTGTTTATTTCTGTGGCCAAATAATTTAACCAAAGTTAGCTCAATTTTATTCAAATGTTGTTTATTTTTTAATGTTTGTAGTACAATTGCATTTTTTCATACATGTAAGGACAGCTTGTTCGAATAAAAATTAATCATAATATTTCACATGTTTTACTTATTACACCAAGCAAACAAATGAGAAGCTACTAACATAACAACCTTTTGAACTATATTACTCTTTGACAGTTCTTTTCCTTTTTGGAAGAGCTTCAGCTGAAATTTTCATCCCTCCTTCTCCATCATCAGTTACATTACCACGCTTCTTCCCAACACCCAAGTCCCTCTGCAGAGCTGATCGGACTTGTTGCTGCTGAAATGCACTAACATTGGGATTGCGGTTGCCACCTCCCCTTGCTCTCTGACCACTAAAGTGTTGTTCTAGTGGGTCCTGTGAGAACACTCTTGCCATGACAAATTTCCCTCCACCCTTCTCAGGATCAAGAAAATATTTTGTGGCTCCTTCGATACCTTTGATGGCTCTTTCAATCCCCTCCAATGTTGTCCTGGGCAGGAGAGACCTCTCCTTTACCCTTGGAGTCCAAGGCATGGCTTCAACTTCTTTTTGCCACTCTACTAAGTACATAAGAAACACATCATTTAGCCAAGTAAACCTTTCATCATCCAAGGAAGTGTAAGCAGCTAAATCAGGCTTGCGGTGTCGACCAGCCTGAGAAGAGTGTGCTCCATTGAGACAAAGAATTTATTACAATACCTAATAAATTGAACAGTTTCACTTGTCTTTGGCCATTTCTGCTGCTCAATGTCCAATGCTATTGTGTCACTGAGGACCTGAACAGCATCACGCACTTTCATTTTGGAGTATAAGTTGGGGAATACATTTTTGGCATTCAGTTTGTACGACTTTCTGAAGTTGTGGTTCTTATACAACAGATAGAGACGAACAATGGTTTTCCACTCAATACGCTCTCCATTCTTAATTAACCACCTAGGTTTTTTTTCACCCTCCCCTGAATTATAGAATCCATTTCTCATAGTTTTGACAACATGGCACACATCTGATATAAAGAAAATAGGGTGTTCAATAGGAGCACAAAAGTTTATTGTATCAAACACAACACCAAAATGAGTTTTCTTAGTAAGTGGTATGTGCATCTTAAAAAATGCTCGGTTGACAGGGTGCCCATCACAGATAAATGAAAGTACTTTTAGGCCACTTTTTTCTAATACTCTAATTACATCCCAGCTCCTAGCATACATCATTGATTTTGTCCATACCTTACATGGATATGACGCAACAACACATTTCACATCACTCGCCACACCCTTCAACATATACACTGGCCGTCAAAATTTAAGCCCCACTTTTTCCTTTCCTTATAACTCTTGCTAGAATTGAGATAGAAACTTGAAATTTTGAGGAGAGGTGGGCCAAAGTGTTGGGTAAACGTCCCCAAAGTTTCAACAACGAAACCCACCCCTATCCATCTTTTTCCACCCCTCCCGTAAAACAGTGTCAAATTTTGACACTTTTGTAAGGTTCAAAATGGCCTTGCCGTTGTTACAGGGGGTTCAAACTTGGTGAGTCGACTCTTTTTGACGTCCTCTTTCGATTAAGACCAGAGCCACCCCTGTACGCCGCGCCGTTCCTGAGACAGAAAAAAAACCACCCCCTGCAAGGGATGATTCTTAGGGACCTTTTCCAGGTGGTCAGCGTGGTAGCGGGAGGTCCCCCGGACACGACAAAAGTGTTTCCGTGTCCGTGGCACTCTCCAGGGGGTGACCAGCCCCTAACGACTGACACCCCAAATCATGCTTTTTCCCTAAAACCACCAAAAATGTCAAAAACTGGGCCCAAAAGCAAGAAACACGATTGGTTTTAACCGCCTGAATCGATTCCAGACGAAAAACTGCACATCGTTGCTAAACAACGTTTTGGCAGGGGGTGGAAACCACTTACGCCCCTCACCCCTTTTGAAGGGGATGGGGGCCGCCGGCGGGACCCCGTGTTCGCGGCACGATGGAGGGGTCCCTCGGGCAGCTCCACACCAAATTTGAAGTGATTCGGTCCATTCGTTCCCGTCCGGGGCCCAAAAGACGTTAAATCGTGTCACTTTCAACCCCTAAGTTTGCACCCCTGATTCTCCGTAACCAGGAGGGGCACAACATCCGCTCAGGTGCGCCGAGGAGCGCACGACCTTCCTTGACAAGGGTGCAAACGCCGAAACCCCTGCGACCAACGAGTCAGCCGCCAGAGCGCTCAGAAAATGAGACGTGTCCGCGACGCGTCCGCGACGCTGCGAGACAGAGCGGCGTAACCCAAAGAAAACGGCTCGGAAATCGCCGACAGAGCAACAGAAACACCGGCCGGGCCGTCGACGGCACTCAGTCATAACCACAGAAACGACAACAATGAAAATAGGACACTTTCCGTTCAAGACAGCCGAGTGGCTGCCTACCGCCCAGGCGGAGCGGCGGCCGCTCTCGGACTGGACGCTGAGTGCGACTCATTTTCTGAGCGCTCTGGCGGCTGACTCGTTGGTCGCAGGGGTTTCGGCCGGCGGCCCCCCATCCCCTTGAAAAGGGGTGAGGGGCGTAAGTGGTTTCCACCCCCTGCCAAAACGTTGTTTAGCAACGATGCGCAGTTTTTTCGTCTGGAATCGATTCAGGCGGTTAAAACCAATCGTGTTTCTTGCTTTTGGGCCCAGTTTTTGACATTTTTGGTGGTTTTAGGGAAAAAGCATGATTTGGGGTGTCAGTCGTTAGGGGCTGGACACCCCCTGGAGAGTGCCACGGACACGGAAACACTTTTGTCGTGTCCGGGGGACCTCCCGCTACCACGCTGACCACCTGGAAAAGGTCCCTAAGAATCATCCCTTGCAGGGGGTGGTTTTTTTCCTGTCTCAGGAACGGCGCGGCGTACAGGGGTGGCTCTGGTCTTAATCGAAAGAGGACGTCAAAATGAGTCGACTCACCAAGTTTGAACCCTCTGTAACAACGGCAAGGCCATTTTGAACCTTACAAAAGTGTCAAAATTTGACACTGTTTTACGGGAGGGGTGGAAAAAGATGGATAGGGGTGGGTTTCGGTGTTGAAACTTTGGGGACGTTTACCCAACACTTTGGCCCACCTCTCCTCAAAATTTCAAGTTTCTAGCTCAATTCTAGCAAGAGTTATAAGAAAAGGAAAAAGTGGGGCTTAAATTTTGACGGCCAGTGTATGCTACTACTTCAGTCGCCAGCTGTCGTTCATGAATGACTGGTTCCTTTCCAGTAACATAATTATCAAACTTTTCTAGTTCCTTGTCAACATCGTCAAGAGTAGAATAGCCTACTAAGACACCATCACTTTTCCTGTACACTAAGTTCTGGGAAACATGCATGCCATCACAAAGAACATTGTTAAATTTTTGATATTCTGGAAAGTTTTCTACTCGCTTTTCAACTAATTCTAAAATTCCTTCATTGATTCCATCTTTTGCTTGAATGGCAAGGTCCTCTTGCATGGCAGTTTTATGATACCTAAATCTCTCCAATCTTCATAAGCAGCATCAGATGTCCACTGGAGATGAAGGGCAAGGCGGATCATAGCTGGATGCCACCTATGAACTCTGGAGTCTGAATGATGGGCTTGATTCCACTGCTCTTGCAAAAACCACTTCTGCACCTCAGTCAGTTTAGGAGAAGCCATAAGAATGGCTGTAAAATTTTCACTTAAATCATCTTCTAAATTAACACTTTCTGCTTCTAAAATGTCTTGCATTCTTGTCTTGAGGTACGCAATTTGCTTGTCCTTCTTCCTGATTTCAGCCTGGGCCTGCTCAGCTTTGTGGATAGCTTGTTCACGAGTCAAGTGTTGGTTTCCTACTGTTTTCTTGGCAGTGGCTGACAGTAGAAAGTCTTTTCTTTCAATGATGTTATTCATAACTGCAGAGCACTCTTTACACCGCTTTCCATGACCCAGTTCTATAATTCTCAAGCACGACACACTGCGACAAGTTTCAACATATTTTACTTCTTTGTATGGATTAGTGTCTACATAAGAATTGCCAATCATATACCAGACATTTCTGGTTTCCATATGATTTGCACCTACACACACATCATATTGCAAAAATAATTTTACTAAAAGTACACTCTTGGCACAATAATCATTCAAACTACTGGCATTGAACTGAGGAATAGTATTTTTGTCTAATTTAAATAATTTAGGAAAAGATGGAACAGGCACACAGTGACAGTATACCATAACCGAACCATTGAAAGAAATAAAAACCTCTCTTTGGACGGCAATTGGTTTTTGAAGTGATGGGAGAAGCAGATGGAAGCCAGTTTGATCAGCGATGGGAAACCATGGAGCAGGTAGCAGGGTCCGAAACTTTTGCAAGCCATCTCCCTTGCAAAATGGAAAATATGTGGGCACTATATGGACAAAATATATGGCCCAACATGTATTGACGACATATGTGGAAAAGATAATTTAGCAAGATACTTTTCCGATATAAAAAATATGTGGCAAATATATAAATTTCATACATTGCTCTATATGTAGGCAATATTTAGTGCGAATACACCATGGAGTCTGACGACTCAGAGACTTCCTTTACTATTATCAAAGAATGTAGCCTCGCCTTGCGAGAACACCCACTCGTCATCATGTCGTGGTCGCCTTGACAAACTTTTCGCGCTACACTCAAAAAAGACGTTTAAAATTTCCTAACTGTGCCAGTTAACTTGTTAAACAGGATTTCTCAAAATTTCTTGGAGACTTAAACGCATGGAAAAGAACCTTGCCCCTGCTCAATATATGGTGTCAATATATTTTACTACATAAAACAATGTTGAGAAATATAGCCGCCTTTCAACATCGAGTGCCAAGATTTTAAGAAAAGTTACTTGAAAAGTCTGCCCTCCTCACCCTGCCCCATCCCACGACGGGCACCGTGTCAGATATTGAAACATACATTTCGCGAAGATAATATTATATGGGGAAATATATGCATAATATATTAATGGGCTCCAAGATATACCCCCATATATAAACCACGTATTGCGCAAGATAATTTGCAATATATTGAGCAAGATACAATTATATTGGCAATGCATGAAACATATATGGAGTCATATATTGACACATATTTTCCATATATTTTCCTTTTTGCAAGGGCTTGGATTTCACTTATTGGAGGGCACACAAGAACACTAGGGTTTTGACTGAGTTCACTGGTAACTTCCTCTTGTTGACTTGGTGCTACCAAAGAGTGGGAGTGAGAGCACGAAGAAGGCGGCCCCACGTCAGAGATCACTGGAGCGGTAACCGTATGTGATCCACACACACTTGATGGACGAGAAGAACAAGCACTGGTTGGTCTGGAAGAATTAGCACTCTCTGGTCATGATGAGTCCGATTCAAAAAACAGTGAAGATGATGTCACAGAACCAGTGGGAGAGCCAAGTTCAGAGGCACTAGATTCCTGCAAGATGAGAACAAGTAATTAAAAATAATCTAATATCAATTAGTTAACATGACAAGAAAAGTACTAACCGATCCACCAATACTCCTTGTCACATCCAATCCATTTAAATCAGCAAGGTACTCATCTCTCATCTGCAAATTTAAACAAACGATAATAATCAGTAAAATACAACAGCCTTATGTGCAAACCAATATTAATTACCAGCCTGCTTAGAATTATGACTCACCTCGTCATCAGAGAAAATGCAATCTGCAATAGATGTAAGCGAACCAATAGAACTGGCTCTAGACGGTTTGGACCGCTTCACTTGCTTTCTTTTAGCAACTTTCTTGCGTCCGACTTTTTTCTTAGTTGGCTTCTTAGTGGGCTCCTCAATTACTTCCTCGAACACATTGTCATCCATTGGCACTAACTCCTCGTCTGCGTCCATGTTGCAGGCTCTGTGGGAACAAAAACACGAACGGTTACAACATGTATGGGTTAGGGGACCCTAGGCCTGGTCTGGCTATCGCAAGAGATTCCTAACATTTCGTGAATTGATTCGGTACACCAACCGTGTATTGTCGAAGCAGAACGTCTAATTAGACATCCTCGTCGACAATTTCCACGGATGCTGCCGCCAAATGTCTCACCTTTGATAAAATAGTCGCTAGGCTTCGGTCGGCGGCAAGCACGTAAACACGACGCTTGATTGACGCGCGGGGCGGCCCTAACCTCAACCGCGCGACTGTATGGAAAACGCGAAATACGGCGAAACAGACTTTAAAGTGGGTTCTAAAGTATGAGAAAAAAATATTTTTAATTTATTATGACTAAAGAAATACATTTTGAGACGATAAACGCCGTTTTTCGTGAAATCGCAAAAGAACGTTTTCGGAGCTGTTCGAGAGAGCGCCTGCCCCCCGCCCGGGAACCCTGCCGAATCGTCCCGCGCAAGGTTTAAACGGCACAGACCCGACGTCACGAACGAGATGGTCAACTTTTTTGAATTTTGGCACTTCATTGGTTTTTTAGCTATCCAGCGAGCCCTCGCGAGGCCCGATACAAGCATCCGTTGCTGAAATACGGCGACATGACTGCAGCAGGACGGAGCCCTCGGGCGCTCCCGTTGCCAGTCCATAAAAGCCCTAGCACTGTTAAAAAAAATATGAAAATTCAGACTGATTTCGTCTTACTTGGTGGTCTGAATCGTAAATTCATAAAATGGTACGAATATTAAGACCAACTGTCTGAAAAGTTTGACCTGTTGTCTGAAATTTAAATTTAGACTAGCAAGTCTGAATATTTAGAGCGATGGCTATCAAGTTTTGTACATTGTCGTCCGAAAACTAAATTCATACTTGTGAAAGCGGAAAACGAGTGAAAAAACCCCGTCCCCTTTGTACATTTTTCAATTTTCTCAAACCTTTTATCAACACTACTGTTGTATTTCAAATAATATTTACGTTTAGTGTCGTAAAAGCATAGAGAATGTTTCAGAGCTCCGAAATGGACACTTGTTGCTCTATCCGCTAGGTGGCGCTAGTGTCGCATGGGTGATCTTTTGGAGCTAAAATTGCCACTTGAAGGCGAAATTGCGAATATTTTGTTACAAACTTATTCCAAGTGATTGTCTGAAAGGGCATGAGCGCACCAAAGCAAGATTCAGGTTAATAAGTGCAGTATAAGCTAAATAACAAAGAATACAATTTCACTCTCGCGCATGGCCACGGGTCGGCGCGTGGTTGGGCTAAGGCCGCTCTCCCTCGCAATTCAGCAGTCACCTCTAGCCTCCTCATTACCTTTGCAAGTTGGTGTCTACTGCCGTGTACCTAATTTTTGAGCCGACACGATCCGCTGAGCGTCTACGATAAACCGATGGCAAAAGTTCGCTGATATGTGTTCTACTCTACAGAGTGGCATTTTTTGGTGCGACTGTTCAATGTCCTCGTACAACTTAGTCTGATAAAATAGACCGACTGGTATCATTTTTCATACAACATGTTGATTTGAAAATTCAGACTAACGTCGTCTGAAACTTTCAGACCGCGAAGTATGAAAGTTTTGGTATGAATATTCAGACTGAATGTAAGTAAATCGACTTCTTACAAAAAATTATGAATTTTCAGTAATTTTTTTTAACAGTGGTCTCATGGCGGTATGTCACATTCGTTTGACTGTAAATTTTTACCGTCTGTCACGCTCAAACTAACATCGCCGTTTTCACGTGAAACCAAACGTGACGTCACATTCCTTGCCTACCAGTGTTGGTGTCCGGGAGAATTCAGAGAGTTTCAATGAGTGTCTAACCGAACCTAACCTGGCCTCGAATTTGTCCCGATCGCGATCGGTCACGCCGTTCTCGAGATATGGCCGAAAGAAGAAATCGGGAATGTAGGCAACACGTGGTGCACTTGTGACCGACGGGTTGCCTATGCGGCGTCTTGCAGGCGCTGTCGGAAAGGGACCTTTTTCAAACGCGTTTTTGAGACTGAAGGAGTGCGGGTGGAGAGTGTCCGAGGACGGCATCGCATAGGGCAAGGTTCGAACCGGACGCATGCCAAGTTTGAACCCTTTCGGACGACCGCAAGGGGGCCGCTCGGACGGCCGAAGATGGACTATTTCAAAAAGCTTCTATCACGTCTCTAGACCGTTCGGAGCGAGATAATCCACCCCCGTTTGAACGAGAGGCAAGTTTGAAGACCCCTTTACGACATGCAGTCGATGGACTGGATACATACATCAGTTAGACCCTGTTTCGGGCCGATCCAAAGTCCGTCCCGTTTTTGGACCTTCGAACGGCCCCCGTGTTCAAAGTATTCGAGCTAGAGGTCTCGTTCATAGCTTCAAAGAAAGCCCTTTAATAGATCTAGAAGAGTGCCGAATGGCAGAGACGTTGTTTGAGAGATGGGGATAGAAAAAGCGGTTATTCGTCAATTTGGTCGGTTTGGTGCAAAGTTCCGAATTTTGACCTTCAAACGGTCATTCACTGGTCGAGAATCGAGCTGTGAAGTTCCCGGACATGGCAAACGACAGATAATAGACGGCTCTAGAGGGCTGCGTCGGCAGAAGTTCCCTTTCGTTAACGGGAAGCCGTCAGCGGCCGCCGGATCGCGATATTTACAGTGTAGAAAAAGGGTGACATTTCCCGATTCGGTCGACAAAAACGGTCCCATGACGGAGCGAGACGGTTTGGACGGGCCTGGTTTGCGCCTGAGTGTAGTTCAAACCTGTGCCTAGGGCATAAGAAAAAGAACGGACCGCTAGAAAGAATCTCGTCCAGTGGAGTGGTCTTGGACGCGAAACTCATATTAAGCAAAAAGTGCGAATTTTGCCC